AAAAGGGAAAAAAAAGGCAACCAACAGACTGAAACAACAGGGGTTCACAAATGTGTCACAAGGTGGAATACTGAACCCAAAGGAGGGGACTGGAAACAAAAAGGTTTATTTGTAATAAAATTAAAATAAGACGGTGAATTAAAGTGAAGTAAACTCTGGTCGTAGTAGTCAGGTGACGGTCTACTTATGGAAGTTATAGAGAGATAAATCACAATATTTTGTAAGGTAAAGTAGGTTTAGTTATTTTTTGTAATTTTCTTGTAATTTCTTAAGTTTGGACTTGGCTGGGAAACATTATGCAAACTATTTAGAAAGCAGGTCAGCAAGTTTCTATCTCTATTTTCTCTGATGCCTTATTTTTGTTATTTCTCTCAAATTTCATCTCCTTTCTTTTATCAGCATCAAGTAGCCTACAGTGGGGGAAATAAGTATTTGAGCCCTTGCTGATTTTGCAGGTTTGCCCACTTACAAAGAATGCAACGATCTATAACTTTAATCATATGTACATTCTAACAGTGAAAGACAGAATCCCAAAGAAAATTCCAGAAAATCACATCATATGAATTTATAAAAATTGATAGCCATCTGATGAGGAAGAAAGTAAAAAAAAAAGGCATATTTTTTAAAATGTCTGTCCCTTATCAAGCAGTGCTTTCATTTGCTATTTGGTAACGTATAATGAAAATGAAAATGTTTGACATTTTTTGTATATATATATAAAATATTACAAATCATATATATATATTTAATAAATATTTATTTAGTTAAATATTTATATTTATTCAAATTAAATTAAAAGTAAAGTTTTAAAGTTTTCAAACATGTTCATTATACGTTTTTAAAACTTTAAACTAATGGTTTGGTGCCATATTTCCTTACTTTGCCTTGTTATATATTTGTCAACATTACCTCCCTTTTTCCCCATCGTCCATCATAAAATGTAGGAGTTGATTGCTGTGATAGATGGTAAGCTGGAGAAAAGAAATGTTTTCACAACCAATTACTTGATCCACCTTTCTGTTCGAAAGCTGCCCGTTTAAGTTTCCCTTTCACAGAAAGTGGCTCTTGGCATTTAGTGTTTTTTCACAGAGTGTGGGAATTACCAACTCTGTGTTGGTTCATTGGAGGCTGTTGTCCAAAATCCTATTTATAATAGAAAAAATCTTTATAGTGATGACCAGATACCTTGTTGAATCAACCATAGAAAACGATAGTGTTTTATTTTAGTTGTCACAGTACCCCCTTTGTTATTATTCTAGTTCCAATATGGAGGACTTTTTTGTTCACCATTATTTTTACAGCAAACAGAAAATAAACATTGCTCTTAAAGCCAAAGAGTCCTTGAGTATGACCATAGCAACCTTCACTGATAAGTAATTGCAATAAGCCCTTTACTGACCTTTTTATTGTTTGTGCACAGCTACAATATTCTTAAGAAAAAAGAACAAAAAACAGTACAAGTGCTTTTCCCATTTTTACGCTGGTCTTACCTGAAAGAGAGGAGCTTTTATGGGAACGTTGCTTTATGATGATGCATCACACGTGAAGACAGAGAGCAGAAAGGACTTTATCTTTGGAGAATACATAAATATGAATATAAACTATAGTTTTACTGCCACTCTGGTGTGTTATAGTTAGTGTATTTGAGATTCTAATATGTTTTATACACATCCACAAACTCATCTTTGAAGTGTGAATCTTTCTATACTATATTTTCGAAACACTCTGCCCTTGGAATAAAGTGCTCATCTCCACCAGGTATTAAGACTGAAATGGTAAAAGATGCCTCCAGATTTCGAATTTTCAGGAATTCTCACACTTGGGAATTAGACCGAAATGCTTTCTCATTTTCCCCCTTGTGAAAAACACGCTGATACGAATTCGAAAAACAAGCTCTGCCTCTACCTCAGCTGGAAAAAGTCATTTTTCATGTTCATTTCAGGCAAACTCTACTAACACAACCCACACATGCGTCACTTCAGAGGAGATTAAATCAGTTATTGTTGTTTGACGCACACACAGAATCATGTTTGAATTAATTCAGAGGACCTGACATTGACTTCTCATTTCCTAAAGACACAACCAGGCCACGATAGTAATTTGCCTATTCATCAGTGTGAAAACTAAAGTTATCCACCAGGTAAAGGGCAGTGGAAACAGTATGTATAACTAGAATATGTCTGTTTCTGTGAGAAGGCCAAGTGGTGAATGGAGGAAGAAGGAAAAAAAGCCAAAGAAAAGCTGAAAAAGACATAGAGTGGAAGAAAAAAGGCTGAAAGGAGGAATAATTTGAAAGAGCTGAAAACTAAAGAGTGGAAGATAAAAGGTAAAATGATTAGAAGAAGAGTAAAGGGCCATAAAATTATAGATAAGGTACAAGAAGATTTTAACTGGCAACTTCTTGAGTCAAAGGCTATACCACTGGGCTATACCACTGGGCTATACCACTGGGCTATACCACTGGGCTATAACACTGAGCTATAAAACTGAGTTATACCACTGAAATATACCACTCAGCTATACCACTTGTCAGGGAGTTGGATCTTGATGGAGGACTCAGGCGCTGAGATGCAGAAAACTGGGTTTATTGTAACAAAACAGGGCTGTGGCAAAACTATGAGCAAAGTAACAAAGCAAGGTTAACAAAACTGTGGCAAGACATGGCTATGGGAAATAATCAAAACCTTACATGACGTGGGGAGACGAAAGACGAAAGACGAAAACGAACTGGCCCAGGACATGGGAAACGAGGACTATTTAAACACATGAGGGAGGGGAACCCCAGGTGAACACAATAGGTAATCAAGACATGACAACACACCAGACATTCCCCCAGACGTGACACACTGAGATATAACACTGGGCTATACCACTGGGCTATACCACTGGACTATACCACTGGACTATACCACTGGGCTATACCACCGGGCTATACCACTGAGCTATACCACTGAGATGTACCACTGAGCTATAACACTGGGCTATACCACTGAGATATACCACTGACCTATACCACTGAGCTATACCACTGGGTTGAAGGGCTCCAGAGGAATTCATAGCAAAAAAATTGGAAGGGGCTTAAATGCCAGTGACCAGCAGATGAAGCCATATTTTTTTGCTCCATTCATTTCAATGAGAGGAATAAGGCATAAAAAGTTAAATATCTTAAAAAGGTGAAAATATTTGAACACCAAAAGTTACAGCTCTATAGTCCTGAGATAGCTGAACGTTTTGATACCTTGTTTGTTGAAATAGGCTTAAATGTGTAGGAGTAGTTAGATGCTGAAAAACGTACGGAACATGGAATAATAAAGAGAAACAGGAAAACAATAATTCCACACAATCAGGTTTGTGTGGTAGCTCTCACTGTTTTCTAATAATTCAAAAATCTGAAAAAGTTAAATAATTTAAAAAGTTGAAAATATTTGAACACCAAAGGTTATAGCTCTATAGTCCTGAGATAGCTGAACGTTTTGATACCTTATTTGTTAAAATAGGCTGAAAGGTGTAGGAGTACATAGATGCTGAAAAACGCACGGAACATGGAATAATAAAGAGAAACAGGAAAACAATCACTTTGCACAAGTCTTTATTGATCAGTTCTCCACAGAAGAGAAAACTGACCATCTATGTAAAGTTGTTGTTCAAGGAAAAGCAATAGGTTACAAGGAAAAACAATAATTGCACTGTCAGGTTTGTGTGGAAGCTCTCACTTTTTTCTAATAATTCCGCAATCTGTTTTTTTCTTGTAGCCGGTAAGAGATGCCATTTGTACTGTCAGTCGAAGGAGACGGGGGACGTGGCGTACATGAAGCAGCTGGTGCATGATGGGACGCGCTGCTCCTATAAGGACGCCTACAGTATCTGCGTTCGCGGGGAATGTGTGGTAAGAACGGATCCAAACCAAGCTATGATTCCATCATCCACTCCGGTCCTCCGGACTTACCGTATTTTCACGACCATAAGGCGCACCGTAGTAAAAGGCGCAGTCTCAGTTATGTGTGCCATTACTGTATTTAACACACATTAGGCGCACCGGATTATTTTTATATACCAGTAAATATCCTCTACTACCTTTAAATACCTCTACTGCGTATTTAGAAATAGAGCGGGAGAAAAACTGAGTATGTTTGTGCTTTATTCATGTATTTATTACAAAGTATTAATCAAACCCATCGAAGTCATCATCCTCTGTTACACGCCTAAAGCGTCTGTGTTCGCGGGGAATGTTTGGTAAGAACGCATCCAAACCAAGCCACGATTTCATCAACCGCTCCGGTCCTCCGGACTTACCGTATTTTCACGACCATAAAAGCTTTGCCAAACATATATATATGTATATAGTGCTCTATATAAAGAGCTCTTCCAGTTCTGTTTATTGTGTTAAAGACAAAGAAAGTGTATCAACTCTGAGTAAAACTGAAAGCGAACCTACTTCTCATGAGAAACTATGAGGCTAATCCTTTGTTTCTGTTCCTTTGGGGCTAAACTGGACTGTAAATGTCCCAGAACAAGGAGGCCCAGCCCCCTCTTACTATTATTATTGTATAATCTCCTCCCTGAATAGTGCATTTCACACCTATTTTTGACTTTTGTTTTAACAGTGAGCTGTCACAAAATGACTTTTTGCCACGAAAAGCCAGACAAGAGCAGAACTGGAGCTCCACATTAAGAAAAAAGGGCCATTTATTTCCCTTTTCCATCTAAAAGTATCACCAAATACCGTATTTTCACGACCATAAGGCGCACCGTAGTAAAAGTGTCATGAGGGTTGGGTCTTGGTGGGAGGACTCAGGTGCGGAGATGACGGAAGACAAGGTTTATTGTAACAAAAAACACTCATGAAGAGTGAACGTCCAGACAAAGTACAAATCAAGGCTGTGGAAAACTGTGAGAAAAGTATCAAAGCAATAAGTAAACAAGACTGTGGCAAAGTAACAAAATAAAGATTAGCAAAACTGTGACAAGGCTGTGGTAAAACAATGACAAAGTAACAAAATAAAGAATAACAAGACTGTGGCAAAACTATGACTATGGAACAAAGTAAAAGATTATGGCAAAAAGCAAACCTGGCGTGGGGGTGACGAAAGACAGACGAAAGACGAAACGCACTGGCACCAGACAAGGGGAAACGAGGACTATTTAAACACATGAGGGGGGGGAACCCCAGGTGAACACAATAGGTAATCAAGACATAATGAGACACCAGACATTCCCCCAGACGTGACAATAAGGCGCAGTCTCAGTTATGTGTGCCATTACTGTATTTAACACACACATTAGGCGCACCGGATTATAGGGCGCGGGTTTTATATACTGGTACATATGCTCTATTACCTTTAAATACCTCTACTGCGTATTTAAAAATAGAGCAGGAGCAAAACTGAGTATGTTTGTGCTTTATTCATGTATTTATTACAAAGTATTAATCAAACCCATCGAAGTCATCATCCTCTGTTACACGCCTACAGTATCTGTGTTCGCGGGGAATGTGTGGTAAGAACGCATCCAAACCAAGCCACGATTCCATCATCCACTCCGGTCCTCCGGACCTACCGTATTTTCACGACCATAAAAGCTTTGCCAAACATATATATATGTATATAGTGCTCTATATAAAGAGCTCTTCCTGCTCTGTTTATTGTATTAAAGACAAAGAAAGTGTATCAACTCTGAATAAAACTGAAAGCGAATCTACTTCTCATGAGAAACTATGAGGCTAAACACCGAACACACCAAAAGAAAGAGTAGACTCTCTTCTTTCATCGGGAAAATTTTTTTGTTTCTACCTTATTCCGTTCTTCCTGGACTTGCGTCTCAC